CAATCCCCAGTGCATGCAGTATGTTTGAAGCATTTTAGGTGGAATGAAATGATCATTAACTGGAAAATATTTATAGAAAGATCATTCTGTTTAAGTGAAGGAGGAATTTAAGTGTTTGTAGAAAAAAAACATACCAGTTTTCAAGTCTTTGATGATTTAAAAGAAATTGTTTTATGATGTTTGCTTTTATATATCTCTAACAACAGAGTTTACTCTTAGATATGAACTGGTTCCTGATAGACAGCCCGCTGGAGGAGTATAACATCTATATTTGATCATTTAAGGGACTGCCAGACTGTTTCTCAAGGTGGCTGAACCAGAATGCAGTCAGCCAGTATAGGAGGGTTCCAATTTCTCCATGTTCCTATTCATCACTGTCTGCCTTAAAAAAAGCAAGGCACCTCCAATGAACATGAAGTGGTATCTTGTGTTTTTTTCCTTTGCCCCCCCCCCCCGATTTTTGATGCTAAATATCTTTTTGTGTGTTTTTATCATTGATATTGCTTCTTTGCAGAGTTTACTATCACTTTCTTTTTTACCTGATTCAATTTCTCCTCTTGTGGGAAAAGCCATCGAAACTCAATCTGCCACTGGTTTCACTTACCTCAGTGCAGTTCATAATCTCCAGGAAATGGTCAGCTGGGTTTGTAAAGCATGCTATCTTCACATTATTAACATCTTAGTTTTCAGGGTTCATGACTTCAATAAAGACTCCAAGAACTCAAAGTTCATTACAGATGGGCTGATCTCAGATCTGAGAGGGGTTAGGTATCCAAGACACCATTGAACCTTTGGGGCTTTATTCCAGGACTGTAACTCGGGATGAGGGTCAGTCACAACATATCAGATGGATGATCTAGAGTTAAAAAAATCAAAATAGTGGAGCTCAGGGCCTTTCAAAACCTCCGAAGGTTAACCAACCAACATGGGTTGCCTTGATCTGTCCTTGTTTTCTCTGATAGTTCTGCGAAATACCAGAACCCTGGGTAAAGAAGTCTAGCGGCCACCCAGACCTATCTCATGCTCCCAGGTATGAGATAACAGAGCTGTGGATAAGGAAGCCAAGAAGTGCATTGGCTGAACTCTGAGGCTGTGCCAACATCGTGGCTTTGAACTCTACTCTGTTTATTTTCAGTTTATGACTCTTGGCATTCACTTTGCCTCTGTGAACCTCAGGCAAGTTAAAGTGAGATACAGAAGGGTTCAGGTCTAATGTGGATCATGGCAAACGTCAGTATTTAAGGAACGAATTCATATATTGTCAATAGTAACCTTGAAAATTCTTCAAGTTCAAAAACAAATACATCCCAAATATAGTTTCGTTCAGACAATGCTAAATACAGTTTCCTCAGATGCCCCAGTGCTGTGTTCATTATCTCCAGTGTACCAGTTCCTCGCCTTCTGTGAACACTCTCACGCCTCTGGCAGAAACAAAGGGCTTATTTTGGGGAGTCAAACCTTGGCAATCACTTTTCTGGCCTTTCTAGAAATTTCAACTCGTACGTGAGGCTGATCTCCATCATGACTGTATCTACTGCTCATCTCAGGCTCGTTGGGTGACTTGTAAGGCATTCCTCATAATACTTTGATTTTCTCTTCTAAGTATTCATGTTGGATTCTTGCAAGTTAAGTGTATGTGTGCTGGTTCTTAGTAAGCCCTCTTGTAAAAGAGCTTCAGTGCATGCCCCAGATGTCAAAGCACCCCCAAACTAAACTGCTTTGTTGACTGAGAGAAGAGCAGAGCACTCCAAGGCACACTTGGTACCCAACTGTGCTGAACAGTCACTGTCCTGGAAGCCTTGCAAGGTCTGCTCCACCTAGCATATCACTCAGTACACATAATACGATGGTCACACCAGAGGTCAGTTGGTGCCTGGGAGAAGAGTTCACTTAAATCAAGATAGACCCAGAGCATCAGTGTCCACTCCAGCAGCAGCAATGGTGGGAGGCAAGAATATAATACTGTCCTCCAGGGAGGGAGTGTGAGGACACAGGTACCATCAGCCAGGAAAACGAGGGCATCTGGAACTTGACTGGGAATACAAAGTGGCAGCTTGCCATTACTGTGGCTTATTCATTGGGAAGCTCCTCACTGAAGTGTTTTAACAATAGGGAAACACTTTGCATTGGCAGAAAAGCCTTACTGGTGTGAGACTAACAGCCAGACCAGTGAGTTGGCTCAGTGGGTAAAGGTGTTTGCCTCACATGCCTGGGAACTGAAGTTCTAGCCCTGGAGCCCACATAAAGACTAAAGGAGCAAATCAATCTAACAAAGTTGTCTTCTGACCTCCCAACATATGTCATGGTATGCTTGCACACACACGCATGCATATGCACACTCAATACACACACACTAAAAAGACACATCAGTTAAGTGTTCATCAGTTGAGAAGTGGGTAAGGCTATTATGGTATATCTGGTATAGTTTCATTATAGAATGTCTGTTCTATTAGGGGACAGACTCTAGGACCTGTTGCTAAGTGTGTGTGTGGGGGGGGAGCAAGATGCATGAAAGATGGGAAATGGAAAGGAGACTGTAGTGATGATTACATATCCTTGTTTATATTTGCTTTTCAGAACTCTACAAAGATTCACAAAATACGACTAGCAGCTGTTGCTTTCATAAAGGAAAACAGACTCCTTTAAGCTGTTTAAATATTTTGTGTGCTTGTATCAAGTTTGTTTAAAAAACATAATATTAAAATCAACTACAAGGAAACTTAAAAAAGAAAACTCCACCTCTTGTATTTTTCCTTTACCTTACCAACAGAGTGGTGTGTAATAGAATTCCTGCTGCTCTGGCCTTTTCTAGCAAAGGGGTTTTACAATCAAATAATCAAAGGTTGAGTTGGATCACTTCCACATACTAAACACAGAAATGTACAGTCTTCTTTGAAAGATCAAGCATAACTCAGATAATGGCAGCCAGTGGATCAGAGCAGAGAGGTACCACGGCTGTGCTCATTTGTGTTAATCCAATGTACTTTCTCACAGGACTCAGAAAATTAATATGTATTTCCCCTTATATAGGAGAAGGAAAAATGATTCCCTCAAACTACATTCAATTTTCTATGAGTATGTAGGACGTGGTGACTCAGTCTATAACACTAGCACTGGAGGGGCTGAGGTAGGGGACTATGAGTTTGAATCCAGCCTGAACTAGATGGTGAGATTCTGTCAGAAGAGAGAGGGAAAGGAAGTGGGGGGAGAAACATGAGTTTCCTTCTTAAACTATGTGAAGTTTAAGTTTTTCCTTCGAGTAAAGGTGGCAGTTTGCTTTGGTCTTTCATTCACATCACACATTTTTATCAACCAATGACATTCATGGTGCAAGGTTCTAGGCCTGCATATGGGAGCATGGCTGCCATATTCCCCTATAGAATCCATGTCCTGTAGTTGGAATTTTCTTTGGGTCACCAATCAACTCACAAATAAAGACATGGAGACTTATTAATTATGAATGCTTGGCCTTGGCTTAGACTTGTCCTACTAGCTCTTTTAACTTAATTTAACCTCTTTCTGTTCGTCTGTGTTTTGCCTTGGGACTTTTTACCTTTCTTTCATTCTCAATGTCTTACTTTCCTGCTTCCTCTGTGTCTGTCTGTCTGGCCCATGGTTTCTCCCTGGTGTCTCTTTTTCTCTATTCCCCAAGCCCAAATTCCTCCCCTACCCAGAAGTCCTACCTATACCTCCTCCCCTCAATATTGGTTGTGCAGCTTTTTATTAGACCAATCAGGTGCCTTAGGCAGGCCAGGTAAAACAGCAACACATCTTTACATAGTTAAACAAGTACAATAAAATATTTTTCTTTCTTTCTTTTTTTTTTTTTGAGACAGGGTTTCTCTGTATTGTTTTCGAGGCTGTCCTGGACCAGGCTTGCCTCTGTAGACCAGGCTGGCCTCGAACTCACAGATATCTGCCTGCCTCTGCCTCCCAATTGCTGGGATTAAAGGCGTGCACCACCAATGCCCAGAAAATGCAACACATCTTTACATAGTTAAACAAATATTCTGCAACAATGTCCTCCTTTCCTAGAAGCAAACCCCCCTCCTTGATTTTCCTTTGGGAAAGCACCAGTACCCTTACTGTTGGTTCAGGTGGTTTCTTCATAGAATGCCTCACAAATGAGATCCTCCACCAAAACCATTGGTAACCTTAGGAGGAGGATGGGTACCTGGCATGTTCTAAGTTCTGGTCTTAATACTATAAATAGGAGCCAAGAAAAGAAATCCTAGGACTTTCATGGAACTATTGACAAGGGGATGATCACCCTTAGTGGAGGCTGATACCAGGATGATGTACCCTTGAGGCTACAGTCACTGCACAAGGCAGCCAATTGAAATGTAAGATATGTGGAGGGAGACAGACTCTGGGAGGCATCAAGTGAACTGTGACTCCTGCTTCTCCCAAACGGAATCTCTCTCTAAATCTTACAGTTTGAGAGTTTATGTTAATTTCCTTTTTTTTCCTAATGAGATTAGCAATATTATTTTTCAAGATTCATTTATTCAATGCTCATTTCTCACTTATATTTGTCATTCAAAACTAGAATGTTCCCAACAAATACATGTGATGTGAGATGAATCATGTATGAGAAATGCTCCTTTTTCTTCAGGAGTGGCAGGCAAGGGGTTGAAAATCATTTATCTTATGATAGGTAATTGAACACATTCCATAACTGGTGCTTTAAGGATAATGTGCTATGATGCCTTAGGGCTATGAGGGAGCCTAGAGTTTGCTTATACCAACCATCTCATTCATATCTGAACTCTCAAGTCAGAGTCACTCTAAAGCACCAGGAATGGTTCTGAACTGTACTTTACCTCTCTTGCAAAAAGGTAATTTTAACAAAACAATAATAGAAGAAGGGCCTAAGGGCAAAATCAAAGTCATCCATAATACCCAACATCTAAAAGAACACTTAGGCTCCTTTTTTATGAATTCTCTTTTAATTTTAGTGAAGCATGCTGTTTATGATCTGTTCCTAAACTAAGCGCAGTGTTATAGCATTTCCCCACACTATCAGATAGTCTTCTGTGAAGTTTCATTGGCTGAATAACTTATTTGCCCTTCTCTTCTCAGATAGCTAGGCTGTTTCCAATTGTTTAGCTTTCGATGCAGCGCAGAGTTGGAATTTTTAATAGCTAAATCTTTGTAGCCATCTTTTTCTTGAGACAAGTTCCAGCCACAGAGTTGTTAGATCAAAGGCTCAAGCTCACATTGCATTTTTTTTAGGCAGCACTGGTAAATACTTCTCAGTGCAACACACAACCTTCATTAGCAGGGGCAAAAATCTTAAGTCAGCTTCCTACAAGAAGCAGGAGGCATTAAGATGGTAGATGTTGTCTCATAGCGCAGCTGGGAATCGTACATCCTGAGAGGAGGGCATGGCTATGCAACTCATGCTTGTTAATGTCTAACATCTCCTTAAACCTAAGCAGTGTGTTAGAGAAGAAAAGGTAAAAGCACAAGAGAGTCATCTGCCTCCAAACTCTCTTTAAATCCTTAAATCTATTTATCACATTGTCTTCCCCCAGAATCACTGCAGCCAAGCTCAGCCCGAGCACTCACGTCTTTGGCCAAACTCTCACATGTCTTCTGTCTTCCCAAATAAAACCATGGAAACCTTCAAGTCTCTTATGACTAATAAGTCACATTCTGAAAGCCACCTTTCTTGTCACTTGTCCCAGTGGAGCTATTCCCACAAACAGGGTCTCTGTCTGCTGAGGGTGGTCTATACTGATCACATGAGTCTAGAACCACTTTCTCTCCCATCTCTACCCACTGAATCCTGCCATCTTCCCACCTCAAATGTCACCAATTCTTCCAATCTGCCAGGCCTGCCCAGCAGATCTTTCCTTATGAGGCACCTGTACCCGCATGCCTGGTGGGCCCCTTACAGGTGGGGATACATCTCACAGAATTTTTTTTTTATCCATCAGCTCTGTGTGTCCTGTTTACAAGTCACTACCTAAGTGTCTGCCAAGTAGAGTTTTGCAGACTTTAAACTACATGAAGTGGCACAAAGGTGACTACTCTTTTGAGATCATGTTTGATGGCATTCCCTTTTCTCCTTATGTAATGGCTGTTCTTCTCCTGGTCCCGGCTTTCCCAAGCAGTCCACAGGAGGCACATTCTTGGTGGACGTTGACAGTTTGCCCTGAATTTTTGGCTTGAAGTGCAATCATCTTTCAGGATTTATGTGGGGCACAAAGTCTACTTTTTACTTGGAGAGATTCTGGAAATTAATTTGAAAATCGGACGTTTATTGTTTATTTAAAAGGAAACAAAGAAGAACGCATTAGAACAGTATTCTATCACAGAGCAGGAAGGGGTTCACTAGCACTCACCCCTAACTGAGAAGCTATGGTCAGGTGGATTCCAGTGGAGGGAGAACTAGTTTTATTTAAGGATGTAGCCCTTGTTAGATAATCCCACAACCGGGGTTATATGGGCAGCAATGGGTAGCATGAATTGGACTCAATGGATTGATTATTTTAAAAAGGGGAGGAGGAGAGAGGAGGAGGAGAAGATGATAATGTGAAATTGGGAGATAAGGAGGTGGGCATGAATCTGGGAGGAATTAGGAGCAAGTGTCAGGGTGGCTATGATAAAAATACATTGGATGAGCCGGGCGGTGGTGGCGCACACCTTTAATCCCAGCACTCGGGAGGCAGAGGCAGGCGGATCTCTGTGAGTTCAAGGCCAGGCTGGACCGACAGCCTCCAAAACAATACAGAGAAACCCTGTCTCATAAAACCAAAAAAAAATGCATTGGATGAAATTCACAAAGGCTTAATAAATACATTCTTCTTAGGAAAAGAAGCGTAGTGTCACATGCTTTTAATTTAATCCCAGCACTCATGAAGCAGAGGCAGGTGGATCTCTGTGAGTTTGAGGTCAGCCAGGATACACAGTATGACCCTGACTCAAAAACAAACAAACAAACAGCAACAACAAACCTTTGCTAAGCAGGAGCCTGAGCCAGCATCTTCCACAGTTTCTGCTTCAGGCTCATGCTGGAGTTCCTGCTCTGGCATCCCTTGGTGATGGGCTGCAACCTCTAAGATGAAATAAATCCATCCTCTCCACTGCTCCTAAAAATATAAACACAGATTTATGTTCCCTCCAGACTCCCCTAAAGCACACATAAACACCGTGTGTCAAATACAATTCTCCTCTTAACAGTGTTCCATGAAATGAGCCTCTGGAATACAAGTGACACAAGTAGTTTTGAAAAAGGCTTCAGAACAGCTTGTCCTGGCCCTGGGACCCACACAACAAGGCCTTGTCCCCTGCTGAATTGCTCTTTGCTTTGACTGAGGCATCCAAGGTTATTAGGACCCGCTGTGGGCAGCGAGGTGGACACCAGGTACCCGCCAATGGCAAAGTCTCCAGTGCATTTCCTAGACTATCTCAGAATGCATGCCCTATTCCAGGGTTCATCTTCAATCCTCTGCTGTTGCTAATTACCCATCTTTTGTTTCTCACAGCCTTACTCACATCTTAGTCTTTTTGTCTACCTCGCCCTGATTATCAGACTTTAGTATGGTAGTTCTTCCCTTACAGTGGTCTGTGTTACCTCAGAGTTGCTCACTTAAAGGAAAAAAAAAAAAGACTGTGATGTCGGTTCTTTGGTGTTCATATGGCTCATCGCATCCACGATCTGTGTGCTAATATATAAAGAGAAGAGAATCAATAGCATTATATGAATAAATAAATGGAGCCATTTCTCCCACCCATAAGAAAATTGACTTAAAAAATTCAATGAAGCCGGGCGGTGGTGGCGCACTCCTTTAATCCCAGCACTCGGGAGGCAGAGGCAGGTGGATCTCTGTAAGTTCGAGGCTGGGCTGGACCGACAGCCTCCAAAACTATAAAGAGAAACCCTGTCTCGTAAAAACCAAAAAAAAAAAAAAAAAAAGAAAGAAAAAAAAAGTTCAATGAGATGGGCCAGTGGGTAAAGGCACTTGCTGCAAGGCTGATCCCCAAAACTCGTGTGGTGGAAGAGAGACTCCCTCTGTCCCTCATATGTACACTGTGACACACACACTGTGTACACAAATAAATGCAACAGAAAATTATAAAGTTCACAGAAAACTAAATGATTAATCCTTGGCCAGAGATTCTCAAAGGGAATACGATTCACAGAGATGGAAGTTCCTAAAAGTAAAAATAATAAATGCAACACTTTGATGAATTCGGTGAGAATAAAATTAATTTTCTTACCTGTTGCACGAGCAATAGGATTTGAGTTTGAAACCCCAGCACCCACGTAAAAGGCCAGGCATGGCTGTGCACACTTGTTATATAGCAGCAGACATGTAAAGACAAGAAAATCCCTGCAGCTCACTGGCCAGCCAGTCTTTGCAGAATTGTTAAGCTCCAGAATGAATAGACCCTGGCTCAAAATATAAAGTGGAAAGCAATAAAGATCTCACCTATCATCAACCTCTGGACTCCACATGTACCTCTCCTACTCATAGGCATACACATAAAATGCAATTTCCTTTTCAGACATGTTTATTTATGTAAATGAATATGAATTTTACTATTAAATTTTGTGAATTTTTGCACTAAAATTTGTACAAATATATGCATGCATGCATCTATGTGTATGTGTATATGCAACATATGTGTTCTTGATGCCTGCAGAAGCCAGAAGAGGGCTTTGGAGCCCCTGGGACTGGAGTTACAGACAGTTGTGAACTGCTATCAGGGTGCTGGGAACATGACCTCGGTCCTCTATAAGAAAAGCAAGTACTTTTAAACCACTAAGCCATCTTTCCATCCCTAAGTAAATTTCTTGAAGTAATTTCTGAAAAAAAGGAATGTAGATGACTTGGTACGTTTTTGAAAGGACAAGCTCAAAGGAAACCAAGTAACTGCAAGATGAATCCTTTAGGGATAAATCTTAGCAGCCGAATACCCTTATAAAACAATACCCCACTTCAGTTCCTGCCTTTGCTTCCCTTGATGACGGAGTATAACCAGTAAGCCAAATATTGCAGCCCCCGTCCCAAGGACAACCTTCATATTGGCTTAGAGTCCTCTTTAATGGCCTTAACTTGATTATGCTAGTCATGAGCCTTTTCTAAATAAGATCATATTCACAGGTACAAGGGGACTTTAACACAGATAGCATTTTGGGGGACACCCCTCAATCCAGTGTATTGATTGCTAAGTTCTTAGTGACACTCAAACATTTAACTGGTGAAATCCATGAGATACCCTGTAAAGCAGGCATGCTTTTGTATTCAAAGGAATGGAGGTAAAGAGAAGAAATTGGCCCACATAGAAGTCAGTTCAACTTCAACAGCAGTCTAGAAGAATGAAATGTTGATTGGAATTGTCGGATTACAATGTCTTTCCCAAATGCAAATCAAAACTACTTTGAGATTTCACCTTACACCTGTCAGAATGTCTAAGATCAACAAAATAAGTGACAGCTCACTGCTGATGAGACTGAAAGCTTGTACAGTCACACGGAAATCCGTGTGGTGGTTTCTCAGGAAGATGGGAATCAATCCACCCTAAGATCTATCTGTACCATTCTTGGGCCCATACCAAAAGGATGTTTCAACCCACCACAGAGACGCTCGCTCAACGATACTCATTGCTGCCCTATTTATAACAGCTAGAAACTGGAGACGGCTTGGAGACGACCTGGATGCCCGTCAACGGGTGAATGGACAAAGAAAAGTGGTACATTTATACAATATAGTAATACTCAGACATTGAAAAAAATGAAATCACGAATTCAATAGTAAATAGGTGGAACTAGAAAAAAGTCATCCTGAATGAGGTATCCCAGACCCAGAAAGACAAATACGGTATGCATTAATTTATAAGTGGATGCTAGTTTTTAAGTCAATGATAACCAATCTGGAATCCATAGAACCACAGAGGTTAGGTATAGGGTAAGGGACTAATGGTGAAGGACAGATATCCCCAGAAAAAGAAAATAGAATAGTTATGAATAGATGGTGGGCAAGGGGTGGTCACTGGAACAGTAGGATCAGATGGAGAGGTGGAGGGAAGGAGGGGACAAGGAGAGAATATGGGGACAGACAGCTAAAATTAGGGGCCAATTGAGAGGAAGTATGAAATCTAATAAAGGAGAAGCTTCATAAAGTAGATACATATATGAAGGTGGTCTAAATGAAATTGCCCAAGAATGGGGAGACAGATTCCCAATTGAACATCTTTTGTCACCAAATGAAACATCCAATACCTGGATTGGCTTACATCTAATGGAGCTGATGACCAAAGAGTCCCATAGGAACCACTAAACAACCTAGTCTATTGCTCTCCAAAAAATGATGGCAAGGCTCTCTTGCTGTCGACAACACCCACACAACTCATTGACCATGGTGAAGTTGAGCCAGTGCCTACATAGAACCTTCACCCCTATGTTCTACTGCCTTTGGTACAGGAAGATACTTTGCATTACCAAAGGAGAAACCTAAACACCAATCTAGCCACAAAGCCTTTGATCTACAATAGTATTCTTTCTGCAACATATGCTAGGGCAATGGTGGCACAAAGTGTATGGGAATAACTACCCAATATCAGACTTGAGTTAAGACCCTCTCTACAACACTGCTTTGGGAATAACTACCCAATATCTGATTTGAGTTAAGACCCTCTCCACAACACTGCTTTGGGAATAACTACCCAATATCTGACTTGAGTTAAAACCCTCTCCACAACACTGCTTTGGGAATAACTATTCAATATCTGATTTAACACCCCCTCCACAACACTGCTTTGGTGGCCAAGAATCTAGATAGCCCAGGCACGCAGGGTAAGACAAAATATTGCTGTTCTAAAAAGCAAACAAACAAAACACATAGCAATAAAATGACTCCTAATGATATTTGCTGTCCTCATAGATCAGTGCCTTGCTCAGCCGTCATCAGAGAAACTTCCTCCTGAAGCAGACAGGGGATACATACAGAGAGCCACAGGAGACATTACGCAAAAAGAGGAAGACCTTGGAATACTGAGCCCTAAATCAGATGTCTCCATCAAATCCCTTCCCTCAGGGCTCAGAGGATACTGCAGAAGAGGAAGCAGAAGAATAGTAAGATCCAGAAGGGATAGAGGATACCAAGAGAACAAGCGCCTCTAAATCAAGAGAATCAATGCACACATGAACTCACAGGGCCTTACGCATCTGTACCTGTAGCGGAAAGAAGTGGACACATGTCCCCATCCCTAACCTAGAAGCCAGCTCTAATTGATAACCACTTGCAAATAAAAATTTAATTTCCGGCCGGGCGGTGATGGTGCTCGCCTTTAATCCCAGCACTTGGGAGGCAGAGGCAGGCGGATCTCTGTGAGTTCCAGGCCAGGCTGGACCGACAGCCTCCAAAACAATACAGAGAAACCCTGTCTTGTAAAACCAAAAAAAAAAAATTAGGGTATCTCACTGGGGAAACAAATACTTTAAGGGTAGCCTGTATGTCCAGCAGTAGACAGCCAACAGAAAATGAACTCAGTGTCATCTTTGGAGGTTCCTGGTCTCATAAAGTCATTTAAAATTTGTTCTTTTTAAATTTTATGTTATTTTCGATTTTAATTTATTTTATATTTTTCTTTGCATATATATTAAGGCTTCCAGTTTAGTGTTTTTTATGGGCTTCCTTAGTGTACAAATGAAAGGGTCTCAGCATCTTTATGCTTCTTTTATCTTTTTCCATCTGTCTGTTTTGTCCTATACTGATGGGTTACTTTTTGTTTATCTTATTATATATTATTATCCCATACAAGCTTGCCTCTTCTAATGAGAGACAGAAAGAGGATATTTGGATGGGAAGGGAGGAACTGGGAGGAACGGAGGGAAGGGAAACCATAACCAGGATATATTACATAAGAGGAAAAAAACCTATTTTCAATAAATGGGAAAAAAGAAAAAAATTCTTTCCCAGTCAGTGTGATTAATCAGGGCATCTCAGTTAAATGGTGCTAACATATTAAAAACCCCTTCAAAAAGTATTCAACCTGGAAGTGGTCCTTAATTAGGTTCCCTTCCCAGATTTGGGCGAGAACATGTCTATGACTTGGATGAAATCACACACCTATCAAGGTTGTA